AGCAAAAAGTCTGAAGGTAATGATTCTATTTACCAGAACAAATAATAAGCTGTAGTTATTATTGTGACTAGTGTCTCTTTAATGATTGTACTCCCCTCCTTGCCACTTGCCTTTATTTATATCAATTCTCTTTTCTTCTTTTTACTTGATCTCAATGTCTGGGTGCAGCCATTTTATTCTCCTCTGCCATGCTGTCTGTAGTTTCCCTTCTGTGGAATTGATCTTCCTGGTGGATTGTGGCTAAAACCTTGCTTTAAGCTCCACCCATTGTCGTGTTTTGTTAACCTGACTGCTCTATATAAGTAATAGTAGCAGTTCCTACTTTTATATATGTATTTAATAAAAACTAGAGTACTCAGGAAAAAAGAATAACACCGTGAGCTATGTAGAAACAGATTAGATGAAGTTTTGTTTTTTTTAGTGACAGTCTGAAAAAAAGATTTCCACTTTTATACCAGTACCGAGATTCCCTCTGCACCTCATTCTGCAACGTCATCTTGAGTTCTCTGCGACAACCGCTCCAGTTTTCGTCATAGAGGAGAATTGGAGACTAAAGCGTTAGCATCCAAATGCTTCTCATAGGAAAGTGTTTAATTCAATGCTTTCCTATGAGCTGCATTGATCACATGCCCATGTTTTACTGGGTTGTTCTTGCGGAAGCACCTCTTTAGTCTGTCTTCTATTTACAAAACGGCAATGTTTTTTTACATGAAAGCTCAAAACTGCTACTATTAAGATTAAGGGGTCTGGGTACCTTTAGTGGTCCTTTTAAGTCATTTTAAATTGTACATTTAATCAAGGGTACCAAATCCAGGTTAACACATACACATTCTTTGGTTTTGGTGTTTTAAAAGACACAAGATAAAAGGCTTGTTACCAATGTAGTATTCTAGAAACAAGCAATAAGAAGCATGTGTGCAATTTTGGAAATGGTTGTTCTTATCAGTTTGTTCGAGTTCTGTGTAAATACAGGTATCTGGAATTGTAAACTTTGCTTTGATAGAAACTTTGTAGTAAACTTTGATAGATGTATATTTGTGTTCTGCCTTTGTCTAAAAATACTATCCTGAAGAAGTAAGGCTCCTCTTTTTAATCTGCTGGTAACTCCACAGCTAAAAGATCTAAAGTAGCACACTGAAGATAGAGTAAAGAATAAATGTTATAGGAAAAAGGGAGGCAATAGAGGTCTTTACTGCATGTAACAAGTGAAGGATCACCACATAAAAAGCTAAAATAAGGTTTGTAGTCAACATAGCACATTATCCACAACAGCTTGTTGTAGTGGTTACGGTGCTTGGAGTATTCATTTAAAGAAAGCCAGAGGTGGAGTAAGAGTCCATCAAGAAAGCTAGCCACGTGTGCATGGATGAAAAGTAGATTTTTACTTTGTTCTTTAAAAGGAAACTATAGTCACCAAACAACAAGTTAATGAAGCTGTTTTGGTGTATAGATCATGCCATTGCAGTCTCACTATTCAATTCTCTGCCATTTAGGAGTTAAATCGCTTTGTGACTTACACAGCCTTCCTAAACACATAGATCTAATGTTTAAACTTCCTTTATCTCCTACTCTATTAATAGCCTTTTAGTCTCTGCAAGAGCCTCCTGTGTGATTAAAGTTCAGTTTACAGAGCAGGAGATAAAACCTTCTAAAACAAGTTCACATCTGATTGAAAATGTAATCTCCCTTAATTCAAGCTGTGTGAGTCAAAGCCAGGGAAGGTGTGGCTGGGGCTGCATAAACAGAAACAAAAGTGATGTAATTCCTAAATGTCAGAGGAATTGTGAATTGAACTGCTGCATTAAACTAAAGTGTGGTTTTTTTTATGCCTATAGTATCCCTTTAATTGTTTATTTAAATTACTCTATTTTATTTTCACACAAGCAAATTAATTCTTATAAAGTTAAATATGATTTTTATTCATTGGGTTTTTTTTAAATATATTTTTTCTAAGTAATTATACTGGCCTCAAATTTATTAAAGGGACACTATAGGCACCCAGACCACTTCATCTCAATGTAGTGTTCTGATTTCCTTGCCACCCCTCACCACCACCATCACATTTAACCTGGCAGTTAAATTATTTACATTGCCTCTAGTTGGTGTGAGTATGACAGCCACTAAAGGCACTTCTGTAAAACAATATGAAAGCATTGGATTAACAGAGATAATTGATCTAACCAAAGAGTCAGAGCTTGAGTGGGGTTACCGGTGAGGGAACAAAGGTGATTTAACTAAATTCTTTCATTTATTTTTAACACTGGCAGCACTGGTCCGTTACCTAAATGCATTAGTATGCCAATGCTTTAGTGATACTTTAAGGTGATGGGCAAGGGTTATCCATATTATACAACATTAGAATTTGAGTGGCATATTTGTTTTGTTTTTTAAGGAACACCTGGGGGGGACTATAGGGAGCTATAGTGCCAGGAAAACAATCTTGTTTTCCTGGCACTATAGTTTCTCTTTTAGACCTGACAGTAAATAGGTAAGAAATCACAAGGTTTGTAATGTACTTGAATGGAATATTTTTTTTTTCTGCAGGAAATAGAGGGTCAGATTAATAGGATCTGTACAATGGGGGAAGTGATGAAAAAGGCTGTTCAAGTGGATGAAGACCATGTGTATAATATTCAAGAAAGACTAGCCCAACTTGAGGTAAATATCTTACACATTGACTGGTATCCATCACAATACATTCAGTTGTAGACTTCATATGAGAACATTTATACATGTAGAAGAATAATATACCATTTGATTTGTGTATAATTGCCTTTTCACATTGCTCTGCCTACCTTACACAGACATAGAAGATGTTGTTATACCTAGCTGGACTGATGAGACAAGCACTGCAGATGTAGACTGAGCACAGATTCTATCAGAGATGCATACTTTATTAAAGGAACACTATAGTGTCAGGTATACATACCTGTTTTATTAATGCTATAGTGTTCTCCTCTTTATTTTGATTCAGGGTCCCCTAAATCTAAATAAAAATTGGAGGTGGGGAAGGGGAAAAAAAGCAAAGTACAGGTTAACCAAATTTATCTCTAATTCAATTGATAATAGGGAGAAGATTTAATAAAGATTGGATAATAGTTATTTGTAGAAATACAATAGATATCCTAAATATTATTTATTAAATATAAACCCTGGAGTGTTGGCAAAAAATAGGCATATGTAGATAATATTGACTCGATTATTGACGATAATAATAGAACACCTTGTGCCGGATTATAGCAAGAATTTAACCTCCCAGACAGGAAGATTTTTAATTATTTGACTAAAAGAATACGTCAATAAGTCAGCTATATTTGGGAGAATAAAAGCATATAGCTTAATCGTCTTGCTCAAGAAGAGGGATGATAAAAAAAAAAAATGCTTGTCCAATGTAGAAATTTAATTAAATGGAGGACCCTGTTACCATCAAAGCTTTAGGAAAATTTGAACATGACACAAATATCGTAATAGAGAGACAAATGTTGTTGTTTTTTGTGTTTTTTTTAAAATTATGTTAATAAATATAACTGTAATACATTACAGTTTCATGAATAGGTAGTACAGGGTACCCTCGGTACTGGCTAAAATATATATCCGAGCTGTGCAGATTTGTGTTGGAGGTGTGGAGTGGAAAGGGGAGATAATTTCCACGCTCTTGTCTACTTCTGCAATTATTTTGAGATATAATAGACAAATAAAAATAAGATACTGTGAAATAAATGAGTCTTGGCCCTGACATTTTTCTTTTGCATTTTGGATTAAATAAAATGAAGAAATATAATCAGGATTTTGCTATACACATATTAATGGCAGCAAAGCTTATGATGGCTAAACAAAGGAGAGCACAGAGGGATTTCCCCACTTTTTTGGGAAGTAGAAAGTTAATATATCAAAGGTGGAAAAAGGAAGGAAGGGGCAACATACTCATGATAAAAATTATAGAATACTCGGGTCATATTTATGTAAACGAAATGCCTGAGCATCTTATTAATGTATAGATATATAAATTAACTAGGAAAGAAGTATTTATGAAGGCGGCGACCCCCTTATCGACCACAGAGGGTAAAGTTGGGCGGGGGGTGGGGAGGAGGAGGATTCTTTTGTTTTCTGTATTTATAGATTGTTTGAATTTCCAGTATAAGTATATATATTAATCATATATATGAATTATATACATATATTAGGATAATTTTATTTTATTTTTTACGGTTTATAAATAAAGATACCCGAAAAAAATTGAAGTGAATTACTCAACATTTTTCCAGCGCTGAGATCAAGTCCCTGCAGTTGCTCATCCTGTCTCCAACACATCAAACAGTCCAATCCAATGTTTCTAATAGAAGAGCATTGAAGGCTAAAAAGCTCTTTTATCTCATTGAGATAAAGTGATCTGGATGCCTTTAGTGGCCCTTTAAAAAAAATAAAAATAAAGCATTGTTCATTACCTTATGGTAGATAGGTAGGTATTTGCAGTTGTCATTTGCGGTGTGCAGTGTGATTTGTTTACTTCTGATTTTCACAGGTTGAAAATAAGGCACTTCGGGAAATTCTCTCTGTGAGCAAAGAGTCTCTATGTTCAGCAAAAAAGGAATCTGAGTGGAATGAATCAGAGAAAATCAAATAAATATATATTCTATGCCAAGAAAAAGCTCAAGCTACATTTGAAATATTCACTGGAGTCCCAGCAATTCCCTGCAAAACATCACATAACATATGATTACTTCACTGTTTTGAAATGTTGGAACAGAGCTGTGAGTTGAAATGAGGTGTGTTTTGCATCTGTGGGGTGCATCTGTTTTATAGGTGCACCACCACAAGATGATGATTTCAAGAGAAACTATTTTGTTTGTAAAAGGACTTAGAATCCATTGCTTATAGACCATACAGTCAGAAAACATTCATAATTCTTTATTTAAATATATAGATGTATATAAATAAAGTAAATTGTAACATTGAACTGTTCAGATGTTTTGTTTTCTTACCCCTTTTATTTATAAAAGAGCTGAAATGCATTGAAAAGTTAAATCCTGCTACTGAAGCTTTAACAGAGGTTGTCTGCAATCCACGAAGATAAAAAAAAATGATGGTCCAGTACTACAGGTATGAGATCTCCATTTATTTAAGGCAGCAGCATACAAATTGGCAAAGTTTCGACCAAGCAAACGGTCTTTGTCAAATCACTCTGCAGAGACCGAATACAGCTAATATATACAGGGTTATTCACTAAAGGGAGAAATCAAGATGAATTTCAAATTAAGGGCCAGATGAGCTAAATATAAAGCATAGCTGACTTAGAAAACGTTTCCAATTAAGCTATTTTGAACTTAAAATTCACTTTGAATTCTCACTTTACCGAATAACTCTAAATTACAAGATGTGTGTCCATACGGACAATTGAAGAAAATGTGTCCATCTTATCACATGACCACCAAAGTCACATGCTGGTGTTGAGTCTTCCAATACTATTAAGGTATCTCTTCACTGAGTGCTAACCTCCTTTTTTGGGGGTATGTGTTTGGTTTACACTATGACAAGTTGAGCAGAATTAAAAGATCTGGAAAGCACTTGGCGAGTATCAGAATGGTTGAAATGTTACAGAACACTTTTATACTTGTTTTGTGCGTCCCTATGTTAGGCATGTGGGTACTTACGTTAGGGGAAAAACTAAAAATAAATTGCTATATGGTACACACACAGCAGGTCATATCTCATTAATTTATTTTTATTTTCTACATACATGTACAGTCACTCAACATTTTACAAAAGATTGTATTTATGGTTCTGGTTCTTAGTGTACCCCTCTAACCTTTTTAGATGGAGCTGGGAGATCGTATGGGGTTTCAAGCTATTCATTGTTCACAAATTAAATCTGAAGACCTGTCAATATCTTGTAAATCCTTTAGATTTTGATGCCATATGTAAGCCAGCAATTGAATATAGTTGTTTACTCAAACTGGACAAGCCTACCCTTTGTTAATATCTTTGGGAAAAGCTCCATAGTTTTTATTTTCTAATGGAAATGCTATAATTGGACACAAGAGATCCATAGTGTACAAATTTTTCATTAAATCTAGCTAACAGTGGAAACCATGGAAACACTTATAATTAATTGTGACTAGAAAATACCCTGGAGCTGCATTGCACTTCTTTTTTTGGAGATGTTGAAAGTCAATTTGTGTATTCCCAGTCTCTTCCATTGTGATTAGTTCATTACAAGCTTACGTTCATTGAAAGATGAGAATTTCCCAGTGGGGAAATGGTCTAATACTGTGTAAGATGTGAATTTCCCAGGTCTAATACTGTGTAAGATGTGAATTTCCCAGTGGGGAAATGGTCTAATACTGTGTAAGGTGTGTTGGGATTGAGAGGTTATTAGCTTCAAACTAGGGTTTTGTTTTTGTTTTTTCTCATATTAAGTCTGGTTAGCCTTAAATATATATGTATGTGTGTATATGTATGTTTCTCTTTAAATGGTTTATTTAGATAATTGGAGTATCCATTACCTGTAATGTTCATAATGGCTTTTTTTTCAATTATTATTATTATTATTATGATGGCACTTTATGCCACCACAGAAGGTATGGAATGAAGCAATCAAGATGTAATTGAAGTGCCGTGTGTCAGGATTAATTCAAGGGTTTTAACAAAAATGTTGTATGAACTGTTAAGAATTTCAGCATTTTTTATTATACAGAACTCCACTCAGATTTATGGGACTTAATGTAATGGAACAAAATAACAATAACAAAAAAAAACATACAAAGTCTGTATTTCCTATTAGGGATCAACAGATATTGATTTTTTTAGAGCCGATACCGATAATCTGTTAACTTCCAGGCCGATATAATTTGCCGATATTCTGTACATTTACCATTTTGAAAAAAACAAAAAAACAATTTCTAAAGGTAAATGCACAAAATATACATGCCACATGTAGTGGATGCAGTGTGTTTAGACATGGGAGCAGTGTGTGTTTGTGACGTGTGTGTGTAATGGATGCAGTGTGTTTGTCTAGTGTGTAGTGTGTATATAATGAAAGCAGAGTGTTTGTGTAGTGTATGGGTAGTGTGCGTAAAGTGAATGCTGTATATACTTGTGACGAGACCAATCTCGCCACATTGCATTGGAGAAGCCTGGTTGCTCGCTACTGCCTTTGGATTATGGCCTCATGTTAAAAGACTTTGTTTCCCCTGCAGAAAATACTTATTTGTGCTTTTCTGCCCGGTGTTCGGTAGATTCAATCTACCGAACAACCGCACGAATGACTAGACCACCTGGGAGCTGGAGTGTGCCGACAATTAGCCTCCCAGAAGCTGCGGTTAACCGCAGCTTAATTGAAGAATACTGGGTGGCCTCCATTCGTATCACGAACAAGAGGTCGCGGCCATTTTAAACACGCGAACGCACAGCGGTGTTAGACGCCTAACTCATGGAACTAAAAACGGACACAGTTTGGTGCGAACACCGCTGAAGCCGACGACCTCCCTTCTTGTTCGGCGGGAGTGCACGAACGGCCCGGTGTTCGGTAGTTTTACCTGACTGTATTATACCCCAGATAGGAATCCCATGGAGCTCATTCGTGTGAGAACTAACTTTGTAAAGACTTTGGCTCCATGGCGATTGAACTGTATTCGTGTGGTCTGAGCGCCATTCGCTTAATAATGTGCGCTCAGACCTGAGCTATCTGGGGATATGTTAAATGTATGGTTTTAATGTAACTTGTGTCACATAGTATATTTTAATAGTAATTCTTGTTTTAGTATCCCCACGTGCATTATGGCGATTTGCCTTTGTCCTGGGAGATAATTGAATTACTTCTCAATTATCTCCAGGGCAGAGGGGAGGAAGCCAGGATGCATTGTGGGAATACAATGTGACTGTGTGTCCTATTTGTCTACTTGTCTGTCCCTTGTCACAGTCTCCCATTTGGTCCCCTAGGGGAGTGTCCACCAGGTGAGAGACCTGCATAAATACTGGGCAGGTAGCCCTCATTAAACAGACCACTGTTTGACCCTCAATACGGAGCTCTGTCTCGTCTTTGGGGGGGATTTACTGTATGCTGTTAGAGACTGATTGCCAGGAGTGTAAGCCGCTTGGGTGCTTTTCCTGTTCGTCTGCTAGCAGCTATTGGTGAGGTTCCAGTTCGGGAGTTTGGAGTGCTACTTTGTATGCAGTTCGGGAGTTTGAAGCATTCCCTTATTTGCGGTTCGGGAGTTTGGTGTTCTACAGTAGCTGTGCCTGCATCTCTGGAAAGGGGACGATCGCCTAAACGGTTTTTACCCCGGTAAACGGTTTGTATAGTGTGTGTATATAATGCAGTGTGTTTGTGTAGTGTGCATTATATAAACACACTGCATTATATACACACACTATACAAACACACACACACACTGCATTACATACACAGTGTGTTTGTGTAGTGTGTTTATATAATGCAGTGTGTTTGTGTAGTGTGCATTATTTAAACACACTGCACAAACATATAAGAAAAAATACACAAATGAGGGGGAAGCAACCCTTAAACAAAAGGGAGCAAATCCCCTCAGAAGCAGAACCCCCTATTAGAGCAATATTAAAGCATTTGCTAACAAATGTGTAAAATAATAAAGTTTTATTAATCATTACAGAAAATCAGACAACATAAAATAAGGTGGAGGAACACCCAAAATGGAAAGAGTTCCAGTTTAAATAAATACAAATTAGTAAACTTGATACTCAATGAGTAAAATTGGTTCATTTACAAAGTAGCAAAAAATATAGCTACTAAAGAGTGTAGCCATATATATATAGACAAGAAGTATCCAAGTAAATTTGTATATAGTAAAGACTGACTGGAAGCAAATCAGGGTCCTCCAAACCAATAAAGTGTTAAACGTCCATAGATGGATCCCACCCTCTCCTCTTTTCTCATCGCTCTCTTTCTAACTCCTCCTTCATATATATATTTCCTGACCATTATTCATGGCAGCATTTACTCATGGGTTAGCTCCTCCTCTCACAGCAGAAAGGACAGGAAATAGAACTTTGAAACTGGTATAAATAGATCCTCCCCCTTCCCATCAGGCAGTTTTTTTCCTGTCCTTCACAGCAGTTTGGAAGGAGTCTGCTTAAGCAGGCCTAGATTTTTTTATTTTATGCCCACCAGGCAATATTTTTTAGGCCCTGCCAGGGTTCAGCCTCTAAGCCCTGAAGACCCAGCAAAACTCACTAAGATGAAGTGGCTAGCCTGGGTACCCTCTTTAGTGACCAGGGGTCGGACCCAACCTCTCCCTGAAAGGGATGAAAATGGTCCACTGCATGCCAGGGTTCAGCCTCTTATCCCTGAAGACCCAGCAACAGGCCAGCGTGGGTACCCCCTCAGGGGATGTATGTGATATACTGCCTACATGAAGCCAGGCCAGGGTTCAGCCTCTTACCCCTGAAGACCCAGCAAACAGCATATCGGTAAGAGTTGTCAGCCTGGGTTCCTACTTCAGCCACCAGGGGTCTGTCCTATCTCTCTCGGAAGTGATGACAGCGGTCCACCGCATACATGAGGCCCAGTTGAGTCTAAGCCCTTATCCCTGAAAACCCAGCAAACAGCACATGTGTAAGAGTTGCCAGCCTGGGTACCTCCTTCAGCAATCAGGAGTCTAACCTATCTCTCTCCCTGAGGGGATGACAGCGGTCCATTGCATACATGAGGCCCAACAGAGTTGTGACTACCGGGGTATACCTAGTCTATGTATTCCACCTTGTATGGTGATGATGAATGGCATATGAGGTACAGATTGAAGCCTGTAGTTTAAACAGTTTAGGCTGTCAGTTGTTCAAATCCCCATTTTGCCGCTAAAACACAGGCCTGCAACGGTTCAGGTAAGTGCATTAGTAATTTAGATTAAAACTAGTATAGGCACCTGGGTCTCTGTTCTTTCAGTCCCTCCCAGCTGCTTACATTAGGCTTCCTTCTAAAAATTAGGTCACATTTAGGAGACTTGTGTGGTGAGCATTTAGGTAAGTTTATAAGGATGTTTGGTGCAAAAGAGTGCTGATAATACAAGTATGCATTGGGCAAAGTAGTGCTGATAATGCAAAAAGAGTGCTGATAATGCAAGGAGGCATTGTGCAAAGGAGTGCTGATAATGCAATGAGACACTGTGAAAAAGAGTGCTAATAATGGATATCCTGGCTGTATAAAGTCTGCTGGAATTCCACAGCCTGAAGACAGAGAAATATCCAAGGTAAGAGAACCTTCTTGGGTGTCTGATTAAGGTACACACATGTATATGACAGGTTTTAAAAACCTAAAGTCCACACACACACACACTTGTTTCTATCAAGGTATGTGGCATTGATTGCTGTTATCTGTGCATTATCACAAATAAGCAGGCTTTCCAGACAGTGGAAGAATATACTGCACAGGAGACCACTGGGCCTCAGTATCTGTACATGATCTGGTGGTGGTACAGCATTGGTATGTTTCCATTATATGCTCTAATGTATGAATTGGTATGAAGTCTCAATGTGTGTCCAGTATATGCTCTAGGTATGAGTTACTATGAGGACACAGCCTCAGTATATGTATCCACTATATACTCTATTTCCTGGCTAATCATGGCAGCATATACACATGGGTTAGCTCCTCCCCTTACAGCTAATAGGACAGGATTAAGCAAATTCTTATATAAAAGGAGGATCCAGAGAAGAGACCCTCAGTCTTTTTCCTGTCCTTACAGCCTTTAGGAAGGGAGCTCCCTCTATAATTTTTTTTTTTCCCTTGTCTCTATCTCTTTAAGTATTTTACTTCTTTCTCTATATACTTTACAGTGTACTATTGAGTACATACAGGTGTAAAGTGATTCCCACTATCTCCTTCCTATTTCTTCTTCCTTTACCCGGGTTTTATTGTTACCTGTATAATCCTGGGCTGCCTGAGAGCTTTGGGAGTCATCCTGTTTGCAGCTGGGATCCCTGGCTTTCGTCCTCGGTTCTCCCTGGTTGGGAGCTTGGAGGGGACGCTCGGTTCGCTTGGCGCCAGAATGCAGTCTGGGTAAAGGTCGCGAGGTCGCGGCGGCCATCTTTACTGTGGGCAAAACCGAAAATTACAGGTAATTGACAGAAGACGCCAGAAACAGGTTAGTAAATGAGCAGAAACTATTTAAAAGTACCTGGAACTCGAAGGAGGTTGTTGTGGAGTCAGTTATTAGACAACTTGCATTGGATTATCTAGAAGAGAATTTAAGACTCTGGGATCTTTCTATTCTTTGCCACAGGTTTGTGTATTTCTGATAAAATTTTATCCCTTTATTGTGACAGTTTACTTGTATATTCTAAGAGAATTACTTTGAATTATTTTTAAATTCTTTATTGTAGTATTGCTAGTAGGAATCCTTTACCCTGTTCAGGAGAATCCAGGTGAGTAGGATTCCATATATATTTCATTTATATTGTGTATATATATTTATAGGTTAAAGGGGTATTAACTCTCCATTTACTAACAGTTCCTTATATTACTTTTAGTAATGGAGAACAGTCTATCTCATCTCCCCCACGAAAGAGGAGACAGAAGTCAGACCCCTGTGCAGGATGTGATGGGAAGGCGTTGGAAGGCAAAAAACTGTGCTTAGACTGTTTGCAGAAAGTGACCACTCCAGCAGCCGTAACACCCACTCAGTCACCAGATATCCTGACCTGGATCAGACAGGAAGTGGCTCAGGGCATTTCAGAAGCCATGGAGGCAAGTAAGCGGTCTGTAAAAAGACCAAGACAGAGACTGATATCCTCAGATTCATCTGGCTCAGAATACCAGGATTCAGTTGAAGAATTTCAGGTTCTTGATCAGGTTTATTCTAGTGAGAACGAAGAAGAGGTCTTGTCAGAATATCTAGACGCCAAGACAGTGGATAAGCTCATCTTAAAGGTAAGGAGCACCCTTGAACTACCAGAGGATCTGCCTAAACCTGAAGTTTCGGATAAACATTTTGCGGATCTTAAGAAGCAGAAGCCTTCATTCCCTCTTCATAAAGCCATTAAGGAGGTGGTGACTGCAGAATGGGAAAAACCTGATAAAAAGGTTCCGTTTCAGGGCAGACTATCCAAGCTTTACCCTTTGGAGGAGAAAACTTCAAAGAAATGGACAACACCTCCAAAAGTGGATGCGACCATCTCTAGAGTTGCTAGGAGAACTAGTCTACCATTGGATAGTTCAGCCTCCCTGCGGGAGCCAATGGATAAGAAATTGGATTCCGATCTTTCCAAGATATATTCAGCGGGAGGTACTGGATGCCACCCAGCTGTTTGTCTTACGGCGGTGTCCAGAGCAATGAAGAGTTGGATAAGAGACCTTGATTCAGATTTAGAAAGGGGAATCAAGAGGACAGTCCTCAGGGATTCTATCTATGACCTTCGGATAGCCACAGAATTTGTCACTCAAGCTGCCCTGGATATCACCAGGATCTTCTCCCGCACCATGGCTCTCTCGGTAGCAGCTAGGAGAGCTTTATGGTTGCGTTATTGGGGTGCGGATTCCTTTTCCAAGTCCAATCTATGTTCCATACCTTTTGAAGGAGAGCTTTTATTCGGTAAGACCCTAGAAGAATCCATTAAAAAAGCAGCTGAAGGGCGTAAGGTCTTTTTACCCCAAGAGAAAAGAACCAGGAAACCTGGCTCCTCTTGGTCAGATAAGCGACCTCAGAGGGATCACTTTTTTCGGGATACCCGTAGCTACCGACCAGGTAGAGCGTTTAACAGGAGTAGTAATTGGCGTGGGGGCCAATCATATGCTTCCCGTTCCTCCCGAGGTAGAAACCCTTCCTTTCGGGGAGGCAAGAACTTCTGACTATCCGTCAGAGGTCGGTGCTCGACTCTCCCTCTTCTGGAGGGTTTGGGCACGAGACATACAAGATGCCTGGGTCAGAGCTATAATTCAAAGAGGTTACAGATTGGAATTCCTCAGGAGACCCAGAGGCAACTTCTTCATTTCCACAGGTATGCCCAAAGACGAGGGCAGAAGCAGGGCTCTGGGAGATTATGTTCAGAACCTCAGGTCCCAAAAGGTCATCATTCCAGTGCCAAAAGAGGAACGATTCCATGGTCATTATTCACCTCTGTTCTTGGTCCAGAAAGACAAGGACAAGTGGAGACCTATCCTGGACACAGCGAAGGATCAACAGGAGTCTTCTAATCAGATCCTTCACGATGGAGTCCATAAGATCCATCTCCCCATCTATCCGGAGGGCAGATTGGCTCATATCCATCGACCTACGGGATGCCTATTATCACATCCCGATAGCCAAGGAACATCATCGTTTTCTACGATTTGCTATAGGAGGGGACCACTTCCAATTCCGAGCACTTCCATTTGGCCTGAGCACAGCACCCAGGACCTTTTCAAAGGTGTTGGTCGTGCTTATAGAGAGATTGAGGATTCAGGGGATCTCTCTGTTCCATTACCTGGACGACCTTTTGTTGGTAGCACCAAACGTCCAGATGGCGGTTCTACACAGAGAATTTGTGCTATCAGAACTTCATCGATTCGGCTGGGTGGTGAACCTACAAAAGAGCAGCCTCATTCCATCACAGAAGATTACGTTCCTGGGGGCAAACTTTGACACACTCCGGAACTCTATTTCCCTTTCACAAGAAAGAATTCGTAGGATTCGGATCTTTGTCTACAAGATTCTGCACCTTCAGGTAATAACAGCAAGAACATACTCGCAACTTCTGGGCAATCTGACCTCTTCTATAGGACTAGTCAGGTGGGCCCAGTGGCATCTCAGAGTTCCTCAGAGGTCGTTCCTGAACCAGTTCAACCGGCAGGTTATGGATTGGAATCAACCCTTGAAGATCTCTCCTGTTGTGAAAATGGACCTAGTCTGGTGGCTCAGAAGGGTAAATTTGGAAAGGGGTTTTCCTTTGATAGAACCCAATTGGGTCCTATTAACGACAGATTCCAGCGCACATGGTTGGGGTGCCCACTGTCAGGACCAAATGACTCAGGGTCGATGGAACAGACAGGAGTTCTTCCGGGGAATTTTTTGGAATTACGGGCCATCCACAGAGCCCTCATACACTTCAGAGGGATCTTGAAGAACAAGTGGATACGAGTCCAGTCCGACAACCAGGCAGCTGTGGCCTATGTATCTCATCAAGGCGGTACCCGCAGCCAACTGTTGATGAAGGAACTACGTCCTATCATGAGTTGGTGCCAGAAAAATATTCAAGGTATTTCTGCAGTACACCTTCCGGGGATTCAGAATACCATGGCGGATTACCTAAGCCGCGTGACCATGGACAAGAACGAGTGGCATCTAAGCCCCAAAGTTTTTCAGGAACTGTCTTTGATCTGGGGAACCCCAGAGATAGACCTCATGGCAACGGCCCAGAATACCCAGGTCGAAGCATTCTTCTCGAGACTGTTCGATCACAGAGCCAAGGGGCAGGATGCTCTATCCCTACCTTGGAGGTTCACTCTGGCCTACGTGTTCCCTCCTATACCTCTCATATACCCGACTCTGAAGAAGATTCAGAAGGAGAAGGTAGAGGTCATAGCCATCCTCCCATTCTGGCCCCGGCGGCCCTAGTTCCCTATGGCGAAACGGATGAGTCGGGAACCTCCGAGGGAACTTCCGTTCCAGACAGATTTACTATCCCAGGGACCATTGCTACACCCAAACCCCCTAACCCTCAAGTTGTGGGCTTGGAGATTGAGCGGGAAGCTCTGATGAATGCTGGTATGCCTGACACAGTCATTAAAACCCTCCTGCGGTCTCGTAAGATAGCCACTTCATCCACATATTATAGGATTTGGCATACCTTTATTTGCTGGGCACAAGAACATCAGGTGGTGATTAAACCTTTGGCATTATCTTCGGTGCTCTGTTTCCTTCAAGCTGGCCTAGATAAAGGCCTTAGCTATAATACTCTAAAGCTCCAGGTATCAGCTCTATCCGCTTTATCAGGTACCCGATGGGCACTGGAACCATTGGTCATCCGTTTCTTTAAAGCAGCAATTGAGATCCGGCCTCCTCTAAAGGTATTTCTGCCGGCATGGGACCTACCTCTGGTCTTGAAGGCCATGACTAGTGCTCCCTTTGAACCACTTGACCAAGCTCCTTTGATGGTACTCACTCAAAAGGTACTC